GGCAGGGAACTGGGGACAGGGAACTGGAACTGGGGACAGGGAACTGGGGGCAGGGAACTGGGCACTACTTTGCGTCGTCGAGAGCGTGCTTTGCTGCTGGCGCAGGTGGAACCATGGGCCGGAGGTGGCGGAATGCTAGATGCAAGAGTGGGACTCTGAAGTGGGCTGAAAACTGAGGACCAATTCTGTTCCCCCGGCAGTGTCTGCAAAAGGTTTGTTTTCTTTCATTCAATGCTCGCTGGAGTTGGCTCGGCCTCTATTTTTTCCTTTGTCGATGGCTTCTGGTTACAGCTTAGCTGTTTGCCAGCAATTGCCAGCAAGCCACAGTAATGAAAACTAGACGACAGGGTGGCCCGAAAGCAAGTAGGCGGAAGAGAACAAATAGAAGGGAAGAAAAGCGAAGTAACAGAAGATGAATGAGCACTAAAGAAATGAAGAGATGATATATGATGATTCAAAACATTAAGATGAAACAAAATGAGATGATGATGAGATGACACAATCACGTTATTACCAAATCTATTAATGTATATTCTGTTGCACTGTACTTCGGAGCCCAAACGGTAGTCCCGGTCGATTCTTTTTTATCCAGCGCCGGTCGAGCTCAAACGCTAGTCCCGGTAGTAAGAGCCGCCGAAGTGTGCGAAATCGCACGTCCCAACCTGGCATCAGGACAACCAATGCTCATACAAATGCAACACTTGAAAAACAAAACAAATTACCCACAGTTCAACTCATGTTGTTTTGTCGGTTATCAGATATAGTTGCACACCCAGTCGGAACAGGATCGACTTCGAACAACTCTCGGTCGTGGATCTCGTGCCTTGTGGAGTCTCTGCACGTTCAGCTGGAACAAGGGTCGACTTCGGACAACTTCCGGTCGTGGACCCAGGTCCTTCTAATCAGTTTGGTCACGACACTTTGCAATAGCCAATTCACAGCTTTTCGCCGATACTTGTAACTTCGTGGCTGGTGACTATATGTGGCATCGACATGCCGGCCTCCTGGAATTCCATTGCGTGGTGTCCACTTTCATTTGGTCCCACTTGTTGCCGCTCAACCTGTTCAAAAGACTCAATGTCTCTGGAAACGAAACTGGTCTTTCAGGTCAAATCACAACAAGCAAAGAATATCATTCAAGTCCAACAATCGAACAAAAAAAAGATGTCTATAGAGCTCTGTTTGCACAATTTTATCGGTTATCAGGTATATTCGCGCACCCAGTCGGAACAGGATCGACTTCGAACAACTCTCGGTCGTGGATCCCGTTCCTCATGGGGTCTCTGCGCATTCAGTCGGAACAAGGGCCGACTTCGAACAACTTCCGGTCGTGGACCCAGGTCCTTCTAGCCAGTTTGGCCACGAATTCACAGCTTTTTGTCGACACTTTGGTCACGACGTTTCAAATGCCCAACGCCAGGCATGCTTGTGATGCTCCAAGGATCGCAGTGCATACAAGACATATGCTCGTCGCTTCCACGGTCTCAGGCTTGGACGCTGCTGGAGCACACAGTCAATGGCATCCTCGACACTGAGATCCCACCAGATCACCAGCCAGGCGCAAAGCGCGGCGGTACTGCGATTGATGCCTCCAGAGCAATGAAACAAAGGCGTAAACCTGATGTCGTGGTTCCAGTAGTAGGAGGCCACATCCCAAAGAACATGCATCAAATCTTTCCAGAAAGCTAAACATTCACCGGCAGACTGACGATGCTTCGCCAGCTCTGTATTTGGGTCTTTGACTGTGGGATCCTCGATGAACCACCAGATATGAGCGACGCCACAACGTTCAAAATAGGTGGGCAAATCTGACGGCGCGCCGCGCACCTGGATCTCGTTCCCACACAGGGTCACGACATGGGAGATCTTTGTCGTGTACTCCACCTCCACCGCTTCAATGTTGACAGCCGCTTTGACACTACCGAGGAAGATGGCATCCCCTCCCAAGGTAATGCAGCTGGCATCCAGTGGCCAGGCAGTGATATCTCCAAAATTGTAGTCGTGACTGTGTGTCTTCCAGTCCAGCGGCTTCCATGGCAGGCGAGAGTATGCCGTTTGAATTTTCCGTTCACATGCATTTACCCAGCTCCGAACCTCGGAATTCCACGGTAGGAGGTCTGTCATGACGCAAAGCAGGGAATGGACGATCTAATAATTCGTCTTCAAAGCTGCGGATAACTTGCAACCATGAGAGCAATGCCGTCCCTGCGATGGCACAGCGTGTGTCCAGACAGCATCGCCACATACATAACTATCTATACGACTTAAATATCACAACAGTCATGGAGGCACAAGCAATTCCAGCCACAAAGACAAGTACAAAACACGACGACAAAACTTGCATGCATGAGTTCCACGACAATCTGTGTTTTGACGCAACCCCACCTCGCCCACAGGCATCATGCAGGCTCCAGCAAGGCATTTGAGTACATCGATCAGCCTGGCTCGACATCCACGGGTTGACGAAAACAAAGAAATTGCACCCCATGCCTTTCCAACATTTTTACCAGCTTGGCCTTCTCCTCCAGTTTGATGTTGGTCATGACGCACAGAGCTTCCTCATCGGCCAAAACCTTCTCCACGCAACCGGTTGGGTCGCTCAGATTCAGAGTCGCCAGGACCTTGACTTCCGATGCAGGGGTGGACGCGCACCCAGTGCTCTTCTTCTTGCACTCACCACTCTCTGGATCGATCTTGGTGTGACACTCGCTACAAGGAGTATAGACTGGCCACCCGGTCACTTCCGTCACCCAGACATTCTGCAACACCACTTCGATGGACTCCTTCAAGCACGCAAGGACAGATAACTATGAGACCATAAGAGTCCGGGAAAGACACTGGGTAGATGCGTGTATATTTATATTTAAGCCGGAAAAGATCAAGTTTCCTCTCATGAGCCTAGATTATACACAGATGTATATACATCGGTACATAGAGTACACGGAGGCAAACGGACAACCGCATATTTCTGCGAAGGAACGTTTTGGAAGGCGTCCGTCAGAGCCAGCGAACACGTGTTCACAGTAGCCGCGCAACTCACAATTTTTGGACTCCCATCAGTGGTCAATCTGACGGTGCCCACTCCTGCCCAGGGCGTCGAGATCTGCTGGCCACGATCCGGGGACAGTAGCTTCAATACCTCTGCCCGGTCACTTTTCGGATCCACCATCATTCTGGCAAACTTGTGTCTGTCGTTTTCCAGCCAATCTTGGCAACTGGCCTCCACCGAGCCATCTTCTTTCTTGGATAGCAGGCAGTTTTCCAGCTGCAGTACCATACCCACCTCGACGTTGTCCCGCACCTCCGCGGTGTATTTGGGACCCCACAGGTTCACCAACAGCTCCATTTCCGATTCATCCTTCATCCAAACCTCGGCTTTGGACATTGTCTTGGTTTGTGGAATGTTCTTGGACATCACCAAGCCAATGAGATCCGCTCGTTGGTAATCCCTGCAATGTTGTTTGAGGGTAGCCAGATCGGACTGTGGTGTCGGCACTACTTTCGCCATGTCCATTGCGGTCTGGTGGGACTCAGCCATAGGATGGACTTTGACCTTCGAAGCTCTGTTGCTCATGTCGGCGCAGAAGCCGCCCAAGAACTTGTTGTTCTGACTGAGTAGCAAACCTTGCACGACCACAAACTTATTCTCACAGCACTTCTTGGCTTGCTTTTCCAGGTCAGCCTTGCCTTTGTAACTTCGAAATTCAAGACAAACGCCGTTGGCCTTCTTGTCCACCAACGCATAAAGAATACTTGTTACATACGAATCATCACATCGTGTCCTGTCATGTTGTCTCTAAAACTGACAGCCAGGGGTCCAAGGATGGAGACATTGCTGGTAACAACTGATCCACCAGCTCTGCCTTCGTCAACATGCTTGTAGAATTCGCACGTCGACGGGAAAGACCCAACGATGTACAAAGCTGACGAAGTTCGCTGGTGCTCTTTCCCTCGAGCTGTGACTGCAGCCATTCCCATCCCTTGACAGCAGATTCCGTCTGCAGAACTTGGATGAGCTGCTCAATGTCACTCACTGCAGGTTGCGACGATTCCTGAGTATGGGGCTCCATCTAAAATGAGCAAAGCCAGTCGAAACGTTGCAGAACCGGATGAACACATGCATTCCCGAACCTCCTGTTATGTCATACTGTCGAAGAACCTGAAACGTACAACGTTCTCACAAAAAATATGCCCATCCAACATTTATATCTCATGTGTACTGACAACATTTACGTGTCGCGTGCACAGACAAAAGTGCATATCAATAAAAACAAATATTTCTATAGAATACTTGTCACATACGAATCATCACATTATGTCATGTCATCAAACTGGCAGCCACG